AAAAAAACTCACTGAATACCATTCGGTGAGCGCATCTTTTCGGTGCTAAAATTGGTATGGCATCCGGCTCCATTCCAGTCGCCAGCTACGGGCTTTGGATTGAGTGTCACGGTGACTCCGAAATCCTCGGCCACCCGGTGCAGGATGTAGCGAGCTATCCACAGCTGATCACCCATCTCAATGCCCTCACACGGACCAATTTGAAATTCCCACTGCAATTAAAAACTTTAATACGATCTCGAAAATCGAAGAAAATCGAGGATCTTTTCAATTCATATAAAAGTCTGTGTTCGCATGAGCTTTGTTTGTAAGCAGATTGCAGCAGAATTCTCGAGAAAGGAAAAGGAGAAGATATAGCTTTACAACGGTACTCACAAAAAAACTGGCACACAGCGTTCATTACTGCAGAAGCATCGCGGTACATCGAAGATATCAGTAAAAACGCAGGTAAAGGGTTTGAATTCCCTATGATCAGAGCTGGTTTTTCTTTTGCAAAATAACCCAGCTCTGATTAGATGGAATTTAGTTCCGTTTGTAAAAAAGCCCAGTTCCATTCGCAGAAATTTTGCGGACAGTGCAAATGTATTCCTGTAATATGATCAACATGAAATAACCACGCTGACAACTCGGGCGGTCCTGATATTCTTTGTATAAGTGCAGCTGTAACTGTAGGTAGTTTTATGAACACACAAACACGTAGAATATATTCTGCTTGAGCATCTTGCTCACCTTTATCTTTAATTACCAAGATTTAATAAGTTCAGAAGTGTGTTCCGCACTACATCATCATTTATGTTTTACGGATAAATAAGAAAAATTGCCTGTCCTGGCATGACTTCAGCATTCGAGCCGCCGATCTTGATCCCAGCATACAGGCAAGCTCGATAATGCGCCTCAATAATGTCGCGTCCAAAGACACAGTTCGCACCAACTCCGCAGTAATAAGGACCTCAAATTTTACATGAGTAGGACAGCCATCTACGATCTTCTCCTCCGGTTAGCCAAAATTTTGCCAAGGTGGTAGCTTACACTAGGAAGCCTCTTGCAACAGCACTTTTTTCCAACAAATAAATGAAACCTTGGTATTATGAAAATGTCAGAGGTGTGAATTTCACTACTATAATATCCTGTTCTTTTTTAACCTCTTAATGAAATTTCACCATCCACCCCATCTAATTCCTCCACTTATATATCTCCATCTGATCCCTCTGCTAGTCCTTTTAAAGCCCATTCCTCCCTGTCACAACTATCGCACTGACAGCGTCTAGTTGAGGCTCTGGTAAGAAACGTATACGATTTCATGGCCATCTAGGATCTTCTCCTCCGGTGGACCAAACGGTGCAAGAAGGTGTCATTATTTCACAACTTCTTCGTTATGTACGTATATGCACTC